AAGGACCAGCCGGTCGTCCTGCAGACTCACAGAACAGCCACAGGTGTAGTGCACGTTCTAGAAAAGTCCTTTCCTTAAGGTTTTCTACCCAAATCTGTGGTACACGTGGCGTTGGAGGCAGAGGGTGAGAAGGGAAGACACAGGTCCCAGTGAGGGACAGGTCTGCACTGAAACCCCCTGGGGGCCGTTCCCTCCTGGGTGCAATGGGGAAGGGCAGAGCCCCCTCCAGGATTGCTGGGGGCACCACAAGGAGCACCCAGTGTCCACGAGGGGACAGGGCGCAGAGCAGGGGCTCCACACCCCGCACAAACACCCACACACTTCCAGCATGGATGTCCCACAGGCCACATTTGCTCTGAGCCCAAACTTGAGGAGTGAGACGCGGCTGGTCCCAGCACCCGCTCTCCCAGGAAGTGAGCTCTGCAAGCAGCAGGTGGAACAGAAGCAGGGGGCACTGCCCGCTGATCTCAGATGCTAACAGGCATCCCCAGGGGCCAAGACCTCGAGGTGCTGAAGGCTGCGGGCCTGCCCCCAGACACCGTGACCCGAGATGCCCACAAAGTGACTCAGCCTCAGGAAGATGGCGCTGCCCCGGAGATCAACACCCCGAGCTGCTCCCCGCCAACCCCTGCGGTGGCCCTGACACCAACCAGAACAGGAAGCTGCAGGGCCTCGACTGGCCAGACCTGCGGGGACCCCTTCGCACACACTGAGGGGGGGAGATGGCAATGGGCTGCAGCCCCACCTGCCCCAGGCTCCTGGACAGAGAGAACGTGGAACCCAGGGACTGAGAGAAAGGGCTGGCCCAAGGCAGGAAGCAGGAGCAAGAGGCCTCTGCCAGGGCCAAGGGCCAGTGTGCCACCCAGCCAGAGAGGGGCGGTGTGCGCGCTTATCCAGGTGTCCGGCCCCAGGAACCACACCATCGAAGGTTCTGACTGCCTTGTGGTTTCTGTGGCGGAAAGGCAGCCGCGCAGCCAGGCTCAGAGAGCACTGGGAGCAGCCAGGGGCGCTCACTCGGGACCCGGGAGCAGCGCCACCGGGAGGGCTCCATCACTGAGCCCGCGCCTGGCTCCACTCCGCCAGCCCTGCACTGCAGCCAGACTCCCGAGCCCGGTTCCTACCAGGCCTTCCTCCTCGTGGCCAGATCTGCACGATGTCAGGTCCGACCACTACTGACCAGACAGCAGTGGGGCTCGGAGAAAGCAGGTGGTGCTCCCAGAGCACAAGCCCAAGTTCACCGACCCCAAACCCACAGTTTCCACCTTGCCACTAAATGCCACACGCCCCGAAAACGAGGGAGGCCACGACCCGCGGACTGTCTTGCTGAACTGGCAGGCTGAGGAGCACATCCGGGAATGACCACTGGACACGGGGGGGCACGCCTGGACCCAGGCCTGAACCCCAGGAGATCCCGACCCTTGATCCTCCAGCTGCTGTTCTCCCCGCTCTGCTGACCGTCATCAAACGGAGGTGTCAGAGCCCCATTTATCTAACGACCCCCGGGCGGGCGGTGAGAGACGGATCACCACAGCTGCCCACCATCTTCACACTGGCCAACAGGACCCCGCGGGGCAGGCCACTGACGGGGTGGCCGGGGCTCAGGAGAAGGCCCACGCGTCCATCAGGCCTATTCCCCAAACAGGCCGGGCCAGGCAGCCGCGTGCACTCAGCCTCCGGGAGGCACAGCAGCGGTAATTAATTGAAGGAGACAGGCTGCTGATTGGAATTCCTAATGAGCAGCAACATCTGTTCCCATCCCTCGTGCGGCAGCGCCTCGCCCGCCCCTCAGCGCGAGGTCCTCCCGGGTTCATGAACTCTGACTTGCCCTTCCCAGAAGGGTGTTCACGTGGTGGGTGTCAAGGATAGGACACACACGCACCCATGCCCTGTGTCTGTCGGAGCCCACAACTCCTGCCTCCCGGTTTTCCAGGGACTTCCATGCAGGGGCTGGCACCTGGTCTCGGGGTCCTCCAGTTGCCTTCGTGGACAGGAGGCGGGCTCCTGGGTCACCTTAGGAGATGGCTTCTGTCTGCTCCTGGATGACCCCTTATATAACTGACCCCTGTGCCTCAGTTTCCCCATCTGTCAAATGTGCCAATTGCAGTGCCAGCTCATAGAGCAGCAATGACGGTGCCCAGGTATAGACAGGAAATGGGTGAAGCATGGGGCAATGGGGGTGAGGGGGCGGCTCACACAGCACCGCGCCACCAAGCCTACAGGCACCCCCCCTCCCAGCACTTCCGTCCACACTGAGGCTGAGGGGTCATCTCCAGGTTGGGCTTGCTGGCTCCCCCTCACAGCCTCACCCTGCCGGGCACAGGGCCAGGCCGGCCGAAGTGCAAGGTCTGTCACGTGGAGGGACCACGTCCCTGCACCAACCGGCTCCGGGGGCCCACCCCTCACGGGGGCCACCACAGAATAAAGCCTCCTTCTCGCCTCCGGGGACAAAGCCCTGCTGAAAGGCAGCTGGGCCAGATGGCACCTTGCCCCGGCCTGGCCGAGACGAACAAGGAGTCGGAGGCCAGGGGTGGAGGGGAAGGTGGCAGAGGGTGGGTTC